GACTGTGTGAGCTGTAATCTAATCAGTGGGTTAATTCTTTTGATACATTTATAATTTGAATGAGCTAGCTGGGTGGCAACTGTAGGGAGGTGGGGCGTGGCTACAGGAAACAGGCCACTTGCCCTTGGGGATTATATCTTGCTCCCCTGGCTCCTCCCTCTTGCTCTCTACTTCACAGCTGCTAGGAGCTGAGCAGCCTTCTCTGCCAGGCCCTTCTTCCATGATGTTCTCTCTCGCTTTGACCTCAGAGCACTGAAATCAGCTGACTTGGACATGTAGGTACCCCTTGAAACTGTGAGCTCAAAACAAATTTTTCCTCCCCTAAGTTGTCCTGGACAGGTATTTTTGTCCTGGTGGTAAAAAGCTGATTAATACACCAAGGCATGGGCCAGTGACTTTTAAAGTTCTCTGGAAAATAGACATTTTGAATTATTCCTCCCATCCTTCTTTTCTCCAAAAACACGACATGACTCTCTATGAACTGAAGCGGGACAAACAAAAGCACACTCAGAGGCTTTCTTCCTTTGGAAACCTGTTTCCCTGAGGCTACTCTGTGAGAAAATCTAAAGCTCCTGCTGGAGTAGCCTTTTCCATTCCAAATAGCACCTGCCCTCGGCCTTTGAGCCCAGCTCCTGTCTTCTCCATGGCTGTCAGCCACCCGAGCCCAGCTCCTGTCTTCTCCATGGCTGTCAGCCACCTCCGCTTGTCAACCGTGTGTTGACAAGTGCCCCATCCACTGTCCCATCCCGTGCCCCGTCCTCCAGCTGGACAGCCCACATGTCTCATTTTTCAGCCGGCATGGCATGATCACTTCCTAAGACCTTGGTGATAATCCCTCCAAGGGCAAGGGATTTGAGGTCTGGTTCTAAAGTTAAGCTTAAAGACTGCCTTAAAATCAGTTAAAAATCAGTTAACCTGTATCAAACACTGCTAGAAATGGTAGGAAATGCTCATAGTGTGCTTACTACCACCATGGCCTTTGCTTAACCCAGTTCCCCTTATAGCAACCTTGGAGGTCAGCACTATTAATATCCCCATTTTTCAGATGAGAAAACCAAGGAGCAGGGAGGCCAAGTAACCTACTCTACAGTTAGCAAGTGACCTTGCGAGGATCTGAGCCAAAAATCTACATTCCTCACTCTTACTAATTCATACTGCTTCTTACTGTCATTGATGTACTAACTTGTAAAGGGTAAAGCAATTTGTAAGCGCTGTCTCCAAGAATCATCATATCACCTCTATAATCACTTCTGTCATTCCCATTTTAACCAGGAAAGACAAAAGCTTCAAAAGTGAAGTCCAATGATTATTTAGAGTAGAACTGAGACTAAAATTAAGTCTGGCTGATACTAAAGCTGATGTCTGATCACTGCTCTGTCCTGTATCCACAAATATTTTCCTCTTTAACCCTGTAAGTGACTTTTTACAGAAGGATTTCTCAAACTTAAGTAAGGTAAGACCTTATAAGACATATAAAATAAAAAAATATTTTGGATCCCCACATCAACTTAAATTATTTTTATTATGCTATATGACGATATATACATATAAAACCAGATACGTTTATTATGACTGAAAAAAAACAAAATTCATTTACAAATTTAATAAAAATAAAGCCAAAGCCAATAAGATTTCAATGAACATAAATAATATCAAGGCTCAATTCAGGATAAGGATTTCATGGACAAGCTTGCAATGCCACCATAGTATAGATTTTGATGGGACTATTGTTCTGAGCTTGGCACTGTTGACCACATGTCCTATGATAATTTGGCCTATGCAGTCTCCCACTTATTGTCTTTATTCCAAATGCTGAGAAACTACAGTCTACACATCATTTGTCCTTGACATGGCACAAAAACATTTAAAAATAATACACACATTTCTGTTCTCACATAATTAACCCATGATAATGGAAACAGTTTAATTTGAGGCTGATCGGTCTCTTCCATAGGACACACATGGCTAGTCCTTTAACAAATTCCTGCAGGAGATGAAGATAAATTTGATCCAGGAACAAACTTTACTTGAAAGTTAACTAATAGGGAAGTTCTCCTTACATCCCTGAGTCTTACACAGTTGAAACCAGTTAAATAACAAAATAAAATAAAATTAAAATGCTGTCTCAAAAGAGATCTGCTCATCTTAAGAAGGTCCAACAATGCACATTCATGCATGGATATGCACACAGACACACACACATTCCACCTTTTATGTTGTTTTAAATGCCAGATTAAATTAAGTTTTAATATGTCTTAAATTATCAGCTCTGGAAAAAAAGGGAAACAAGGTTTTTTAAAAAAATTAGAAGCAGTCCCACATGCAATTGAGCTGTATGCCTGTTAGTTCCATTACTAGGAAAAAACAGAGGCATTTAATGATTAATGTATTATCTTTGATTTGGTTTCAAAATTGAGTTGCATGTTCTGGCTTCATCTTGAAGATAGAAAGGGACCTAGAGGAGCATCAGGCAGAGGATGGCTATTTATTTTTTCTCTTTGCTGCATGGGAAAGAGTGCTTAAAAGACAAGGACCTAATATCCTGCAAGATGAGCTCATCAAGGGACAGATGGAGACTCCTGAGTGAACAAAGACACAGGGCAACATCATCATTTTCAGGACAAGGGAGTTTTATAAATACTCTGGGAAGACTAAAAGCACTGTAGTGAGAAGGGTTAACTTTTCATGTAGCATAAAATATAGGAAATTGAGAGGAACTGTACAATTCAAACCCAAGAGGCATTCTATTTTCAAAACTGAAAACATTACTTATATATATATATATTTGGATCATTTGTGTATATTAAATAGTCATGGTAATTTTAATAAGAGCAATAAACATGGATTTGAATTTTCTATGTTCATCTCTAAACAGATCAGTTTTTCTGGTCCTTGACATATCAAAAACTGCATCAAGAGGACACAATTAAAATCCCCATTTTTATTGGTGAGGAAATTTGGCCATGAAGAGGTTAAAGAATTGACCCAAGGTTATGAAATTTTTAAATGACACTGCCAGAATCTGAGCTTGGGTCTCTATGATCCTTAGATCTGAGCTCTTAATCCCTACCACCTATTTTGTCTTCCATAAAGCACTCTCCAGGTAATCAAATCCAAATAATATAACACACCCTAGCAATTACCTGTCAAATGTGCTTATACCATTTATGAGAAATCTGAGGTCAAGAGATGACAAATGAATTCTTTAGACTTATATAACTAGAAAGAAAACCAGGTTTCAAATTCCCCATACGGTGTCTTCCAATATATATATATATTGTTGAAATATATATATATTTTTGAAAAATATAAAAAAATTACTTGTATTTCTACGTTTTAGACCACATTAGCTTGCCCAAGTCTGTGGACCCAGTAAGTTTTAATTTCATAAATAAGAAAATGGAGACTCAAAGACATTAAGCCATTTAGTAAGCTCAGAGAGGAGACTTGGCAGCTTTAACGAAGAGTTGGTTGGTTCTTATTTGCTTTATTTTCATTTTTGTAATCATTGAGGTGGAATAAATATAAAAATGGTCTCATCCCTGCTTGTTCTTCAGTTAACAATGGCCAGACGATGCTATTTTAGGGTGCAGTGCTGATATTCTAGCAATTTAAGCATAATGACAAGTTTTATTTGTGTTTTAATGACTTTCAGCAGGTTCTAGCAGGTTTGCTCTCATTTTTTAATAGCTAACAGTCTCTGAAAGAACCTGAGTTTGTGTGTTTGTACTCACCAGGTACTTAACAAAGAGGCTGACCTGTTTCTTGAATTTGCACAAGACTCAGAACCAAGTTTCTCAGGATATGGGGCTTTTGGTGTTCAAACCTAGAAAAAACTAGGCAAGCTCTGATAGACTGGTAACCACATTAGTTACCTACGAAGTCCTAACTTGCTGAAAGTAAGGCCATAGAGATCTAGTTTTACAAACACTATCCAAGCATCATTCATTTATTCGCTCCTTCAGTTCAATAAACATTTATTTTCTATTCTGCACAAGACAATTTTGAAGTAGAAATGGTGATGTAGGAGACAGAATCTATCTTCAGTGACCATAGTGTAAGCACAGGGAGATAATATAAATTATATATACTGTAACTTTAGACAAAATAATGAAAGTAGTACTGGACGTCCAAACTAATGTGAATGTGTGTTTGTTCATATTGGGGTGGTCTGACTTCCAGGTGGGAGGCTCTTTAAATAACCGAAGTTCTCAGCCATCTGAATGCTCCATTTAAAACATTGACACGATCAGTATGATAAAGGATATGCTGCTTCTATCAGGTGTAATTCTTTATTATTAATTAAATTAATTTAGAGAGATGTAAATTCTAATAGAAAATCCAAACCTTTAAAAGGAAAGGCATCCTTATGGGTAAATCAATAACCATGGAATAGTTTCCTATATAGTCTCTTTCACATGTGTGTAAATGCAGAATAGAATGATTCTACTTAAACTTTGGCCTTACCCAACATGTCCTATTTTTTTTTTCAGATAAAACTGTGTGTAGTTCTATGCAAAACTCTTGATGGTATTAGTTATGGAAGACAAACTACTTAATGTAACCTTACTACTATTTCTAAGCTGCCACCAAGTTCTTTATAATTGCTGATAAAGAATTAGAAAACAAGTCAAGCAGAAGTGTGATAAACCTATCTGTGTAATGGACAGTGTCCATTTAATAGTGGAGCAAAGAGCTAAAGATGTGCCAGAATAAGTTTGGAAGATAAGAAGGAGTTTGGAATGGCTCAACCACCATAATAAATAATGAATTTCTCCCTCCAAAGATTATGAAAATCTAATTTTGAAATCTGAAAATGTGATATCTTATATAGCTTTTTATATTTGAATAATAATCTTGAAACCAGAAAATAATCCTGGATTATCTAGGTCTGTCCAATTTAGTAGAGGAAGGCTGGAGAATCAACATGAATAGTAGGAGATGACATAACAGAGGCAAGAGAGCTTAGAGTGTTGTAAAGAGGGGCCATGAGCCAAGGATTGTAGGCAGAATAGAAGAATATAGCAGTGTGGATTCAACCCTGAAGACACCAAGGAGAGGACAGCCCTGTTGACACCTTGATTTTATACTCCTCACCTCCAGAACTGCAGGAGAATCAATCTGCATTGTTTTAAGCCACTGAATGTAAGGTATATTGTTATAGAAACAGTAGGAAACTAATACTCATCGTATGTATGTAGCCAGTATCTGACCTTTGAGTATCTGGTGATCTCTGTTAGGAAATTTCAGTGCTTCCTTATTAAGTAATCTGGAGTTGCAAAAGGACTTCCAAAAAAAGATAACAAAACATACAACAGCAAGCCTTCTCCAAAATAGAGACACTGCAATCCTGATCTTGGTTGCAACAGACAAATTTTGTTATTGTGGTGCAGGTTCAAGTACTGAGAAGAGATCATATGTTAACATGAATAATGATGATTTTGTGTCTACATTCATTAGGTCTATGGTCTGTGATTTCTAAGGAAGATAATACTGGTTTCATAGAATAAATTGAAAAATGATCCTCCCATTTTCAAAGAGTTCATAATGAATTGATATTAATTCTTTAAGTGTTTGGCAGAATAAAAACGATGACATTCGAGCTTTTGCATTTATTTAGATGATTCTATTTATAATTCAATTATTTTATAATAACTACATTCAGATTTTTGTCAGATTGTCTAGTGGAATTATATTTTTAGAAAAGTTTTAGATTTACAGAAAAATTTATCCCATAATACAGAGAATTCCTATATAGCACCCTGTAGTTTAGTCTATTAGCAACATTTTATATTATGCAATGTACATTTAATATGATTTGCACAATTAATAAACCAATTTGATAAATTATTATTAATTAAATTCTACAGCTTATTTAGTTTTCCTAATTTTTTACCCAAATCCTTTTTCTACTTCAGGGTCTCACTGAGGATACTTTATTGCATTTAGTTGTAGATTATTCTTGGCTGTGACAGTTTTTGGAATTTTCCTTGATTTTGATGACCTTGACAGTTTTGAGGAGCACTGGCTAGGTACATTTGTTTTCAGAAAACATTCATATAGGTCTCAGAGTCCAACAGACTTTCAATTTTTTTTTGTAAGAAACAAAGATAAAATTTATGCAGGACTTATTGCAGAGGCCTTTATGCAGTAGATGTTAAAAGTAGTATCTTAATTCTACCATGTCTTGTATTGTTTGCTATTTCATGAGTGCTCGTATTTTTTACTTTTTAATAATAAATCTGTCATTTTTTAATTTGTATTGCTTGTAGTGCTGGGGATCAATCCCAGAGCTTGGCACATGCTAGTCAAGCACTCTCCTACTGAGTTATATCCCAGCCACCTGGCAACTTCTTTAAACCATGAACAATTAAGTTTTCCTTTACATGTTCTGCAAAGAGCTTGATTCAATGCTGGAGTCATTATGCATGTCCACTAAAAATCTGGTGATGAGTTATTTCAGAAGACTGGAGGTCCTGTACCCAAATTTCTTATGTTACTAGAACTCAGAGATTAATTTCTTTAGGGGAGGGAACTTACATTGCTCATTGACTGTTTATATCTCATCTTGAATGAGTTATCTTAAGATTCTGTCTTAAGAAAAGATTTTTTTTTTGATATGATATAAGGGGTTGACTAATTTGCTGCTCTCAATATTTCCCTACTCAATATATCATTATTCTCTCTCCAAAACGCTTTTGGTTCTTGACTGAGTTCAGCAGCTATAAGATGACCAGGCACAGGGTGACTTAAATAACAGGTGACTTAACCTAACACTTATATTTCTAGAAGCCAAGAAGTCCAAGTTCAAGGCCCTGGCAGGCGAAGCATCTGGTGAGGACCCACTCTCTGATTGGTATTTGGATGGCTTTTTTTACTTTCCCCACTTGGCAGAGAACAGAGAGAAAGGAAGTTCTTGTGTCTCTTCTCAAATGGACACTAATTCCATTCATAAGTGTTACACCTTGGTGAATCAATTATTCGCTATTGCTCCCAAAGTTTTTACCTCCTAAAACTACCACATTAGGGGTTAGGGTTTTAATATACAAATTTTGAGCAAACACAAATATCCAGTTCATAACCAGTGTAAGTTCAGACCTATGACTTCCTTTGGCCAATAGGATGAAGAAGTGAAATTTTCTAAGAAGTTAGGTTTCTAAGCTTAAACATGTAAAGGACACCATTGTCTCCATTTGCTTTCTTCCATTTCTGTCATTTCCATGAGAATAAAACACCTAGAGTCACCTGCAGGTCCCAAAGGAGAATAAGAGACATGTGGAACACAGCTTTTCTAGATAAAGTTTTCTAACCAGGCTCTGCCTAGTGCAGAATCTCCATCAAACCTTCATGTAAATGAGCAAGCCCAGCCTAGGTGACCTCACCTAAAGCCAACCTATGCAATTATAAAACTCTCATCATACATGATTGTTTAAGACATGGAATATTGGTTAGCAATAGCTGATGTAATTAAAAGGGTATAAGTTTAGGAAGCCAAATATTGAGGTGCTTAGGATGAAGTGACCACCAATAGACCAACAGGCCCAGGGAGAAAAGTCCAAGAGCATCATGTAGACATTGTTCTAAGTTCTCCTGGCATGTTACACCTGACTAGCTAAAAGCATCCACTGCTGGGTGGGTGTGTGTGTGGGGGGGGGGTTGTTGCTGACTGTGGAGAAAATCTAGGAAAATCAGTTTTCTTTTCCTCTACACATATATTGTGTGTCCAATAATAATAAAATTTAATAATTATTGGCCACTTACCATTTGACATACATTTTGATAAGCAATAGGTAGATAAGGTGGCAAGAAACGTGTGTGTGTGTGCGTGTGTGTGTGTGTGTGTGTGTGTGTGTGTGGTTCATTTCCCCAAAGAAATTAACCAGGTGCACAATTACATTTATAATGTGGAAAAATGAATACTATATTAAGGGAAATATACATTGTCTTTGCATGTATCAGAAAACACAGACTTGGGGGGAAAGGAAAAAGCTGAGCCCCAAATGGAAATGCATTGGCTAGACAAAGGGGAAGGGGGCAAAAAGAGAACATAAAATTTAATGTTACAGGCAATGGACCTTGAGCTCTTACTCCATGCCAGCCTCTTCTGTGTGCTTTAAACATATAATCTTGCTCTGAAGCTTCACATCAACCTTATGAAACTAAAACTATCCAGATGTTGCATATAAAGAAACTGGTGGAGGGTGGCTACACGACTTGCCCAAGGCCATGCAGGTGACTGGCAGAAAAGCTATGGTTGGAGCCCAACCCTTCCACTTTTAACAAATGCACATTAGTGCTCTCACTCTCTCTTTCTTCAAGTCTAAACTGAAAACACCAAAGTCTTGGTGTAGTGAAAAGAGCAGTCCCTTCCCCAAGTTCATCACCACTTTCTTTTCCCTCTTTGAAGATGTGAATTTCTTTCTGATTTTAAGGGAAAACACCTTAAACAGCTCTAACACACTACATTCAGAAATAGGCCAGCCAGTTGGTATGAGGCCAGATGATTGGTCCCAACATCCTGCAAGTAAGAGAAGATCTGTGCAGATGTTTTGCTGTAACATTGGCCCCCAAACTTCCCACACGAAGCTCTTCCAGCCAGAGCTTCACTTCACTCTTTGCTCTCAAAAGCCAACCACTACAGTTTCCAACCCCCAAAAGGCAGGCAGAGGATGTAAGTTGAGAGTCCTGTCCTCTTAAAAGTACAGTGCCAAGGCACAAGACAAACAAGAAAAGTCCAAAATGCAGAGCCCATCCAGCTACAAATTGAGCAGATTGCTATGAAGTAGGTACATAAGCTCTGCTGGTCAGCTGCTCAGCACAGCTGGACTGAATCAGGCTCCAGTCTGGGAAGCCCCTGCTTGCTGCAGGCTGCCTGGGGTGCTAGTCAGAGGTGAACTCCAGTGAGACAAGATCATGATTCAGCATTCCAGCAGAAGCAGCCTGGGAGACCCTTTAATCTAGGAGACATGGAAATATTCTAGCCTACAAAGAAAGGGGCTTTCCATGCATTGCCTAAGAGTATGTGTTTATCTGAAAAGGAAAGTAGGAAAAAGCTCTGCTGGTCAAACAGAAAGCAGGTCTGTCCTCTGCACAGTGAGGGCACTGTTCTGACCTCATTCTCATGGAAGAGACACCCGTGACACACAATACTTTAAATAACTGACTATTTGCTTCTCATCTGAGATGCATAATCTGCTCAATGAAACGGGCATTTAATAAACTCTTTTTGAAAAAAGAACAATTGATTAGTTGTTAGCCAAACATTTCTGTCTCTCACCCTGGTCATACAACCATGAGTAAAGAAGGAAGCTTCTCACAGTTACTTCAACATAACAAGCTCTTTCCAGTCTCTCTGTCTTTGCATATGCTGGCCACTTTGTCTAAAAAAATCTGCTTTCTTTCTGTTGAAATTCTTTCTTTCTTTCTGTGTAATTCTCAATCCAGATAACAATGATAGTGCTGCTGCTGACTATGATCAGGGACATAAAATATTTGGGACTGAGCACTCTGTACAGGGCATTTCCCCAAGAACTTTGTGTGAATTATTTTCTTTAGACCTAAAGCCATGTATATGATGTAATTGGTCTTAATTTTCCCCAATTTACAGAAAAGAAAACTCAGTCACAGGAGTATTTGTTGCCCAAGGCATAAGGTGGGAGTGAAAAAGCCAGCTAAAAATGAAACCTACAGACAAGCCAACTGTCAGTAAGAAACCCACAAATGTTGGGAATGTAAATTGGGACAATCCCATTGGAAAACTGTTTAGTAGGACTTACTGAAGTTGAAAATAATCATACAAATAATTTCACTCCAAGGAACATAGACCATTTAAAAAGGAAAACACAGGTTTATCTTCTAAAGATGAACCCGAACAAACCAGTAATTCCATTCCAGTATATATAAACCCCAGCCTAAGTGTATGTTCACTAAGAGATTCATAGGATTATGTTAATACCAGTGCTATTTATAATAACCCCAAATTGGAAGCAGTAATAGAACGGTTAAAATCATGTAGGCTTGCATAATGGAATAATAGAATACTCCCATGAAAGCCAGATAAGTATGGTGATACAGAAAACCTCACAAATATAAGCCTGAGAGAAAGAATCAGAGACAGAAAAGTGCTTGTATGACAATTTCACTCC